GTTCAGTAGGATACAGAGATACTAATATATATTTGACAAACACTTTTATTCATGTTTTTATACTGATGGATACAAAAATGGGGAGAAACGCAATGAAGCAAAGCTGCATATTTTCAGATTACTATAGAATGGCCTAAAATAATGAACAGTTTAAAACCAAGGATAATTTAAAGCACCATATTTTGACATACAAGCTGTTTATACTGTCATCTGTTTCTTCTCTTGTTCATAAACAAAGTCATTTATATAAACTCAAATGAACCATAAACTCGTATGTCCATCTACTATTCTTCATCACTAACAGAACAAGAGGTGGGCTGGGATATAGCCTGTTCCATGGAACTGACGGGCCTGTAATTTTAAGCCCTAAATCCTGTAATCAGGTTCAGTAGCACAGCCCTGCACCTGCAGGGAGCCTCTCTGGTCTGCTAGCAGCAGTCCAAGAGGTACTGGGATCCTGGAGGATGTAAAGATTTAACTAAACTGAATGAAATTTGGTTTCTGAATAAAAGTTCACTCTATGCATATAGTTGCACAATGTAAAAGAAGGCTCAGGGAAAATCGTACATTAGGCTTGTGATTTCATTAAAGTCAGTGGAGTCATTCCAAATTAATAATGACATAAAAGCAATCTGAACTTGGCCTTTGAGGTTATAATCTATTAGTTTGCTAATACTGTGTAAATTCTATATTTGAGAGGTATCCTGCAGTCACATTGGCCTTTCTGAAAGGAAAGGTGTGCTTAGAATACATTGATAAAGCCTAGGCCATTATTTTATAACTTGTTTATAAATCAAGCCAGATTTTAGGAGCCATGTTTGTGTTTATGGACTACATCAAGCAAGAGAAAGAGAAGTGGTGAAAAGAAATTTGGTTTCAAGTTGCCAATCGATAAATAGTTCCAGTTAAAGAACTATGCTGAGAATACACCAAAGAGAAAAAAAAATCCTCCATAAAAATCACATATACAGTTAGAAAAGATACCGTACTAGAAATATTAGTTCCTCCTTATGGATTGTGAGTACCAACTATTAAGAGTCAATACTGTCAGCCATTTGGCGTGTTTGTTGGCCTAACATGTTTATATAGCATGTCTAGGCTAGGCATAATTCACTGCTTTCATAAAGCGCAGCTTGGGCTTTATGAAAGAAAATGACAGCAGTACGATGACAGCAGTAGGAATCTGAAAAGTTGCAGAAGCAAGATACTCATTGGGTTGCATATAGGAATACCTTACTATGTCTTGTCCCACTCTGAACCTAAAATGGCTGTTTTGCAGGGGATGTTGTTGCCTGGTGACCAAAAGTGCATCTCCTAGGCCACAGAAGGATGTGAACATTCAGAAATTGATTTGTTCCTGTTGCTCTTGAGGAGACCATACCCGCAAAATAGATTAAGCCAGCACATAATCACCTATGCATTCTCCTTAAGCAGGCGTGCTTAAACTTGGTATTGAAGATAGGCCTGTGATTCTGAGCTCCTTACCAACCAAGCGAGGGAAAAACAGAATAATACCTCATGTGCTACTGCCCACAGGATATGAAAGTAGACCAAGCCTTAGCTACTGTGAGGCTGCAAGACACCCCTGCTTCAATTAAGCCTGTGTTGTACATCTAGCCTGTTCCGGTGCAACCTCCCAGTTGCTATCAAGCTCTCTTTCTTTCATTAGAATCAAGTAGTTAATTAGCCCCAGCCTGTCCTCTCTCCTTCTCTCTTTCCCTTTAACGCAGCAGTAATGATGTCTAATTACCAGCAGCAGTGGATTACAGCACCATCAGGAGCAAATCTCTCTGGCTGACAGCAAAGCTGAGCAGCAAATCTTAAAGCTTCAAGGAGAGAATAATTCCTAATGAAGCATTTGAATATTTGCTTATTTTTGACCAGCTTGTGAGTATAGAGTCCAACTTGTAATTTCATCCATCCTGTTACTGCAGAAGGAGCGCTTATGCTGCCAGCAGTGATTAATTTTAAATTGGAATTACTTTTACCTGTGGTGAGATCAAGTGATGGACAAGAAGAAGGAGAGAATGAGGGGGAGATTCACAGTTTGGGGATCTGTTACTGTTTGTGGCTCTCTCTGTGGACTAGACAAGCTCAACTGTATGGGATAACAACAAGTGATTTAAGAAAAACAAAACCAAACCAACAATCAACCAACAAAAAAAACAGTGGGGATGTTTCTAAATGGTCATAAATTAATAAACTCTTAAATAATTAGCAAGAATTAAAGAAACAAGAGAATGGGCTTTTAAGGCTTACCAACAGTTACTGTCTGATGAAAATCCAGTCTTTACCCCTCTAATTTATCATTCCTGGCTGAGTAAAATCCCAGGCCTCTTGAAGTCAATAGGAGCTTTGCCACTGGCTTTCTCCAGGCCAAGGGCTGCATCCCTGTTCTCTCAAATGGGCTGTTTCTGAGCCTTCACCGCCTGGCAGGCACTGCCCCTGTCCTGGCAATAGCTCATGCAAACCATTGTGCACCCTATGGGTGTACTTATTCTTCTGCCTTTTGTGATGGAATGGTGACCCCAGATTCATGGGTTTAGGAAGGGGGCAGCATTTGTTTCTCAGAGCTGACTGTTGTGTAAGAGTGCTGACTATCACCTTTTCTCATTTACGCTGGACAGCAGGATTAGTGTTGGCTAGTGGGAGGAAATGTTACCTGCATGCAAGAGTTTTTCTGAAAGGGTTTATGTGTCATTGTTCAAATAATGCACACATATTCAGGAACTGCACACAGCTAGGTCATGCTAACTTTCCTTTCTTGATTTTATTTGATTTATCCTAATAAAATCAGGATGCCTGCTTAGTTGCTTAAGCTACCTAAAGACAGTTACTTCCACATGAATATAAATACACACATAGGGACATACAGAGACTTTCACAATTGAAGGTGTGATCCCCCCAAATGAACAAAGGTTAAGGCCAGCCTGGTGCTCGACCTCTGACTGAAATGTCTGAAGGAAAAAAAAAAAAACAACCAAACAAACAAAAAAAAACACAAAAAGAAAAACAACAGAATAATTTTGATTATCTGAAAATAAAGTAGAAGAGGGGTTGCAAGGTGGGACTCGAGGCTTTCATGGCCTGGAAAAGGTGAGACAAAACAGATAAGCTGATCATCATAAAGTCTTGTGCTTCAGAGGCCCAGAACAGCACTTAATTTTTAAATTCCATCATGTAAAATATATTTTTTTCTTTTTATTTAGTAGCATAGTCAATGTGAATTTTAAAAATACTCATTTTGTTGCAGTATTGAACTTGCAGTGAAGGAGATATTCTCAGGAATACATGATCTTGCCTACTGGCTCTGCAAAATTATTATTTCAGTGAGCAGAAGAGATATTTAAAAATACCAACCTCACTGGAGACTTCTGCTTTAGACAACCTTTTTGTTATAAATTGCATCTACAGTACCCTCTGGGGTCAGAGATTAGCAATCAGTCATCTGATGATAGAACAGAGATCTGCCAAATCACCTGAATCTATAGGCAGACCTAGAACGCTTTGGTGAATAAAACCCATAGAGAGGGACAAACTCCGTCCAAAGCTTCTCTTTCACTTTCAATCTTCCTATTTGTCAACTACTTTAAAATTAATTTCCCACCTCTGCCTCCTCACAGCCGTGACGGCGCTGATGACAAGGGGGGCAAATACAAGCCGGCCCCTGGGAATGCCCAGGTTTATGACTTCAGCGAGGCAGAGAGAGGCAGATTTCCCCGGCAGCCTACGTCACAACCCAGCCCAGAATACTTTCCAAGAAGCCCCTTTGGCTGCACCACCGAGCGATCCTCCCGTTAGGTCAGAATGAGCTGCCACTCCGTAATAAAAAATGATAGATAGGAATGAAAAACAACAGAGAATATTCCTCATCCAAGCCCAATGCCCGGGAAGGAATATTCTTAATTGTGGGGTTTCCTTTCTGAGCTCCCCCTCCCCACCCGCCCCGAGCACAGACAAAAGAGGTTTAGTTTGCATGACCCAGAGCACAAGAAGTAAGAATAATGATACATGAAGAGAGTTCAGTAGGCGAAACCTACTTGCAGCCAACAGTCCCCATCTTCTTACACAGGCAACGGGTCTGCCGCTGCTGCCGGCACCCGGCTGAACAGCTCCTCGGCTGTCAGCCCCGCGGCCGGCTCGGCAGCTCCGGCGCCCGCCGGGGGATGCCACGCTACCCTTAACGTTGAGTTAGAAACCTCACGGGCTGCGAGACTCCGTGCGACCTCCGCGAGAGTCACCCGACCCACCCTCCCTCCGGTCCTGCGGAACCCTTTCTCCCTTTGTTGAGCATCCTTCTCCTTCCGCTCCCCCCCCCACCCCCCCCACCCCATCCGCCGCCGGTACTCTATCGCAGCCGGCGCTTCTCAGCCAGGCAGGCACGGTCGCGGCGGCTCAAGGGCTGCCGGCTAACAATAAAGAAAAATGGGGGGAAAAAGGAGAAATATACTGATATCCCTGGGAACCCCCCCCAGAAAACGCCGCCCGGTGCCGCGCTTGGCTCCGCGCCAGGCAGGCTACCCCCCGGGCGCTCCCGACCGGCCCCGCCGGCGGCGGGGGGCTCCTGCCCGGGGCGGCGGGGCCCGGCACAATGGCCGGAGCGGCGGCAGCGGGACAATAGCCCACCCCAAACCCGGCACGGCGGCCCGAGGGGGACGGGGGGAGGACGGGGAGGACGAGGAGGAGAACGACACGGCCCCGGCTGGGTGTGTTGTGCGCACGATCGCTTTAAATAAAAGGGCCCCACAAAGAGCCCGGCGGTGTATAATGTGACAGGCAAACGCAACATGGTGATGATGACTTGGGGGAAGAGGGAGGAAGGAGCCAACTGTGGCGGCGGCTCCCCCCGTGCCTCTCGCTCCCGGAGCGGGCTGCAGCGGCCGACATAGAACAAGGAAGACAATTCTCTACTAACCGTGGTTTTGACTGGCACGTACAGCACTTGCTTCCCTCCTCCAGCACCACCACTGACCTCGTCCGAGTTGCCGAGCTGGAAGCCTTTAGATTTGACCCAGAATTTGAATTTGGCATTATCCGTGGAGCTCGACTCGGAGCCGTTCAGGAGCTGGACGATCCGGTCGTATTTTTTACGGGTCACCGTCTTGGTTTTTCCTGAGTCCCCGTAAGTCCTGAGACACCAGTCTTGAAACTGGCGGTACATGTCCCGGTCGCTGCTCTCCATAATCTCCTAGTACACACACGCACACATGCACACGCCGGGGCGCACACACTCACACACACGGACGGACACACGGACACACACAGGCGCGCACACGCCGCCCGCTGCGGGCCGGGGTGCGGGGTGCGGGATGATGCGGGATGCAGGGCCGGGCCGCCCCGCCGCACTTTGCACCTGTTCACCCAGCGCTCATGAAAAATGCATCCACCTCCGAGCCGGAGTGAGGGAGGTCCCGGTGCAGGCAGATCCCAGCGGATTTTTTGTTGTTGTTGTTGGGGGGGGGTGGGGGGGTGGGGGGGAACGACCGGGAGGGGGATGGGTGAGGGGGGGCAGCAATCAATTCAGTAGTGTAGCAATGTTCTCCTTCATTATTATTATGATTATGATCATTTTCACAGGAGGCAAACGGGGTCTGGTGGAGGCTCCTCTTATCGTTCCACTGTACGTGATCAGTCTCTAATAATTGTGCAAGGCAGGACTATCCCACTGGCTCCAGCAGTGGCTTACCCGGAGAGGGTTCGGGTGGATAAATAATTAAAATCCTATCCCTTGGCTTAGCGGAGAGACAAAATAAAAAAGAAGAAAATACCGACTAGTATCCGTCTTTTCCATACATCAGCTGCACCCGGATTCACCCTGGATAGTGCAGGTGGAGGAGGGGGGGGGAGAAGAAGAAAAAAGAGCCCACCCTCCTCCGCCCCGGCTGCCTTCTGGAAAGGCTCTTTCTGTCTCTGTCCTGGCGGGCTGTGCCTCTCCCTGAGGCCGCCTGGTCGCGCAGGATGGAGGAACCACTGAAGGGCAAGCTGGGCTCTCTGCTCCCCCTTTATTCCAGGGCTGGGCGGCTTGGCTTTAGAGATCCCCGCTCCGGGCATGAAGGTACTGGAAAGAAAGAAAGTTCTTACCTGCTATTTTCTAAGCTTAATACATCCGATCCGCGTTTTAAATACATATTTTAAAATTAAAAAATAATAATAATAAAAAAAATCAATGGTCTGTGAGCGTTTCACTTCCTCACATTGAGTCCCACCGTGAATTTTCAGATGCCCTTGTAAGAATTTTCCTCTATTTATTTACGTGGCAATCACAGCAGATGAAGGGGAGAAAAAGAAAAAGGAAATTATAAAAGCCAGACCAGAGATACACGAGGATCTAGACTCTGGTATTGGACCAGAGGAGGGAAAGATCAGTCCCAGGAGGATGTTGGTAAAGGAAAGGAGGCGGCTCTCGGCTCCTCTGCCAGTGTAATGATGGTGCTCACACATGTAGGACTCCTCGGGCATCCGCGGGGTATCCTTTGGTCTCTGGGCTAAACTGGCTACAAGGCATTCAAGTAAGTTTGCGTGCGGATGCTGAGCAAAGCCCCTTTTCATAAAGGGGGGAGCAGAAGAAGATAAAATAAAGCAGTCTGGATTTCCCCCCTCCCTTTGCCACAGTTCCAGTTCACGCCGGAGATTTCCGCGCTCTCCCCCGCCTCGCCGAGCAGGACACCCCCTCCGCGGGGGGAAGGCTCCTCCGCGGCTCTTCCTCTCGTCGCCTCTTCGCGGCCGCGCCCGCCCGCGCCTCCGCCATCCAGCGCCCGGCTCCGCGCCCCCGCCCGCAGCCGGCACCTCTGCGGCTGGGGCACGCGTCCGACCCGGGCCCGACCGGCGGTGGCCGCCGCTCCGCTGGGCTCCGCTCGGCTGCGCCGCTCCCCGCGCTGCGCTGCGCTGCGCTCCGCGGCGGGCTGGCGGCGGCGCACCGGGCCGGGCCCAGCGCCGCTCCGCGCTCCCCCCCCCCGCGCCCTGATTGGCCGCCGGGACAAAAGTTTCTGTGGCGACGGCGGCGCTGCGCGGTGACGGGCAGCGCTGTCCCATGTCGGGATGGCGCGCGCGGCGCACCCGCCTCCGCGGGAGCGGAGGGGCGCGGAGCCAGCCGCGGGCCGCGGGAAAGGAGGGGGGAAGAGGCAAGGGCAGCGTTTCCATGGCGATGGCTCCGGGCGCAGCCACCCCCCCCTCCCGTGCGCAGACTGAGCGAGCGGATCAGCTGACACATCATTAGCTTAGGACCTAATTATTGCTTATTGGAGCAAGAAACGCGCTCAGGGCGGCGGCGGGGGGCTGGCGGCCTCCGTGCCCCACGGCGGACTTCCCCCCCTCACCCCGGTCCGGTTGCCCATCCCGCGGACCGGGTGAGGAGCGGCGGCCCCGCGCACTTTGCTCCGCTCGGGCCGGTGGGGACACGTGGCCGCCGCCGGGCAGGGCTTCCCTTTGGAAACGGAGAACGAAGCTCCCTCCCCGCGGCCCGGGCCCCGCTCGGCAGAGCGGAGGGGCCGCACTCCCCGCGGGCACCCGCTGCTCCCATCCCCAGCGCATGTCCGGCCGCCTTCGGGACCCTCCGCTTAGTCCGGCTCCTCGGCGCGCAGCCGCGCGTTGGAGCCCCGCGGGAGGGCGGGAGCTCGGCGGCCGGAGCGGCAGCATCATCGCATCCCGGGCTGCATCGGGCACCGCGCCGTGGGTCCTTGCAGCAAGCGGCAGCCTCGGGCTCGGTCAGCGTTTGTGCGGCTGCTGCGTGGAGGGGGAGGCCGAAACCGAAGGGCATCCCCCGGCACATGCCCGTTCATCATCAGTGGCTCTGAAAGGAAGGGGGCCATGGGGTGCCCCAGGCGTTCGCTCGGTGTCCTCTGCAGAAATGCTGCCTGTGCCTGGGTTTCCAGACACTCAGGGCTTGGAAGGACTTAGTGCAAAGGCAGCGGTGGATTTTTTCTGCACAGGCCTGGACAGTGAGGAGTATCCTCCACTTTCACCACCTTGCACCCCACAGGAAAAGGCTCCTATGGGCTTGCAGTTGCCAGCAGAACTGTTAACACTTAGCCGGGATTTCTAAGTGAAATTCACAAAAACTGAAAGTGCTAAGAGAGCAAGGAGCAGGTCTTCCTCCTGCACCACAGCCAGCCCATGATGGGCCAGCCCCATGCATGGGCACCTCAACACAGTCTCCATCTTCCCCGCAGACCCAAGCTGCAGGCGCCGTCACCTCTCCTCTCCTTTCATCTCTTTTCCTTTCTCCTCCCAGTCCTGTGTTTGCTTTTCTGCTTTCTGTCTAGGAACACAGCTGCAGACACAGGCAAAGCCGGGAGAAGGCTGTTGTTTAAAAGCAGCGCGCTGAGGGGATGTTTGTATTGCCAAACCTTTCCTGGCATCTGTAAAATCCAAGAGGACAAGCTGGCACAATGGGTGGAGAAAAGCAGGACTTAAGAGATAACCCAAGGAGGCCTGAGAGTTTTTGTTGGCCGCAGGGCCCATAAATTATCTTGGCAGCCCCATTTTAGTGTTAGAGGAGCGCGGGACTCCCGTCCATCACAGGATCCGGAGGAGAGGCGGTAACAAAGGAACTGCTGTGCAGAAGGGGAGCGAGGGGAACCTCGCTGAACCCTCACCCAGCAGGCTGTATGAGATGTAACACTGCTTTAATGTGCCGTTATATCTACATTTAGAAAAAGGGTCGTAACACAGATTGGGCTGTGCTGCTAAACAAGCCTGTCAGATAATTGTTCTCAAACCCATCTCCTGCTGAGGGTCTCGGTGACTTCCGTATCACACTGATACTGTGCTGTGCCTGAATCCAAACTAAGCTCTCAAAGCAAGGGGGGAAAGGAAGATGTGAGGTAGCCAGGGGTGGTGATCCAGGCAGTTAGGGCATAGATAAGTGAAATGCTTGAAATAAGTAGGAGTGCTTTAGTATATCAGAAAATAATTCCATAGCTGGGAGTATTGCTTTGGATCATATAAGCCATATGCCTTCTCAGCAGAGACAAATTCCTAAATTCAGTCCAGTTTGGACCATGCCTTAAAACCCCCAGAAATATTCATTATGTTTTCAAACTGTTTAATGACAGGAGAGAAAAAAAAAACCAAACAAACAAAAAATGGATGAAAACCAACTGTGGTGTGGAGTGGGGATGGAAAGCAGAAACCAACATGATATCTAACTCAACTGGATTTGTTTCACTGTTTTACAGTTAGGGAGCTTGACTCACATTGGTGGAAGGGATGGATGCTTTACTACTGCTTCCATTAATCCCTTGGCCAGAAGCCTTAGAAACATCCTGGAACCCCTCTTTGCCAGGCAGTGGACCATCACAAGATGCAGGAATTATGCTTATCATAAAAAAGGTGATGTAAATAAGGTAAATTGCATGGCCCATGACTTCACTTTTCTATTGATATACATTGTGGAATATATTTGCATAACCTGTACTTATTACATTGTCTGTAGCAATTTCAGCAGAATTGACATGGTGAGTTCAGAATGCAGATTTTTAGTCTCCCATTTTCGAATCACCTGAGATTTAAACCATCTGAGACTATGGAATTGACCTTTATATTTAAATAAAGAAAATTACATGAGTTTGGGTTCACCGCTCTGGCTTTTTGGTATCCAAATTAACAGGGTTTGATAGCACAGAATCTCCTTGGAAGGAAAAGGGCTTGCACAGACCCTCCTCCTGTCAAGACTCCTAGTGACACCTCATTGCTCAGCTGAACTGGTAGAACTCCCTTAGCATCCTTGGGAAGAGGAGCTGTGCCGGTCCTTCGATGCCATGGGCTGAGGCTCTTCTGCATTCTCCAGAACTTGTCTGCCTTCATCAAAAAAATGAAAGATTCTGTCCTCTGGTCTGGAGACAGCCTTCCTACGGCAACTCTACGCTTCACTGGATTGTGTGCTCTGCAGCCAGCCCGAAACAATACGACACCAACAGATGTGTGAACTTTTCCATTCAGTTGTAATGAAGTGTTAGGTGCAAAACAGAGTTTTGGCGATTTTAAATTGCCTCATGCGCATCAGGCTGTGAAAGAGGTTTAAATTAAATCATGAATAAGTTATAAATACTGTATTTTTGGGATTATGTGCCCTAACAAGTCCACTGGCAACAGAAAGTGGTGTCTCAGGCAAAATCATATAATCATAGAATAGTTTGGGCTGGAAGAGACCTGAGTGATCATCCAGTTCCAACCCCCTGCCATGGGCAGGAACACCTTCCACTAGACCATGTTGCTCAAAGCCCCATCTGTCCTGGCCTTGAACACTTCCAGGGATGAGGCAGCCACAGGTTCTCTGGGCAACCTGTGCCGGTGTCTCAGCACCCTCATAGTGAAGAGTTTTTTCCTAACGTCTGTTGTCTCCCCTCTGTCAGCTTAAAGCCATTCCTTCTTGTCCTGTCACTAACAGGCCCTTGTAAAAAGCCCCTCTCCAGCTTTCTCCTATGCCCCCTTTAGGTACTGGAAGGCTGCTATGTCTCTCCTGAGCCTTCTCAGGGCTGAACAAGCCCAACTGTCTTCCATTAAAGTTACCAACGTTTCTAGATGAAATTGCAGTGTTTGGTGATGTAGCACTGAGTCCATAGAAAAAAAACTGAGAGGAAACAGTCAAGTTTTTGAAACTTACTGGAAAAAACAGAGAGAGGGGTTTTGCCTAAAATCTATCATCCAACCTCTGACAAAGAGGCGTATTTAGAAAACATGCACTGCATTTCAGCACAGTGCTTGAATCAGAGGTATTGGATGATTATGGGTAGCCTTTGAAGGTAAGAATTTTCAGTCTCTGGGGGTTTTTGTTCACCAGCATAGTTAATTATTTTGTCGCTTCTAACTTGTCCGTGTCCATGAGTTACGATGGAAAGTGTGCTTTATGTGCAGACAGGAAATCATCCTTGCTGAACTCAGAGAAGATGCGCTGAGGAATAAAGAAACCGCAACTCCAAATGGCTTACTTTAAACTCTGTATCTACTAGCACTTCTCTCTTCTGAAGAGAATTTCAGTGGAAGTCTATTGTCACGTCCTTTACAGCCCAGTGATGGCAGCACCAATGCGCATTGCCAGCCTTAATGCCTGTGGAGGCCAAAGTCAGCGTTCACACACTGCATGGGCTTGTCTGCACTGTGTTCCTTTGGTCTTGGGTATGTGACAAAATCACCTGAGCGGTTGGATAGTCAGCACCCTGTTACATTTGGGGAGGTAGGAATCTGCTGTGACACAGCTTCCGGGAAGAGGAAACAATCACTGTTACACCTACCAACATTTCTGCCAAAGGACCACTCTAGGAAGTTGTTCTTAATGATCATCCAATGTGTTTGCTGCTTAGAAGATCAGAAACTAGAGCAGTAGATACTTGATGGTACTGAAGGATGAAAACTGCAAGCAAATGAGTGCCTCCTGGGTTTTGATTTATCTACTGTGAGTGAGTGAGCTACCATGAAGCAAAGCCTAAATTATTAATTATTGTTTAATATAAATGCTTCCTACATATTCTGTACTGTTTAGGATTCCATTTTTTTTCTCTACATTTTTTTTCAATATGTTTCAATCAGTTACTGCTGAGTTTGGAAAAGTAAGAGGGGATAGACCAAGGCAATGATTCAGAGATGGATTAGAAACGCATACTAGATTGCTAAATCTTGTGGGAAAAGAGCCTGTTAACGTTCTTCTAGAAAGAGGAGAATGGTGCTGTGATTCTGGTTAGGATCTTTTCACATAGAGTGATGTTGATGATGCTGATGAGAATAATATTGGGATATATTCCATCTTTGCCTTCTGACCATCTTGTTTTTAGACATTTTGGAATCTCTTACAGAGAATACTTAAACTCACTTTCTCTTCCTGCAGTTAGAAAAATTCAGATTCTGCTTCATTCTACAGAGCTGCTTTGCTTTAAGTAGCAGTTCTGCAAAACATAACTTCACATATTTCTTTTACTGCATGCTTTATTACTGAGAATATTTGCATGAAACTGGGGTGTTTGTTTGAAAAGTTCCTGCTTCTTATTCATCACAGCTCGTTGGGTTGGAAGCAGTTATGGTACCCTCTACAGAAGGCTCCAGTTCCTTCAGAGCAGGAAAATATAAGCAGGAATAGACAAACTTTTGAGAATCTGAGTACTTGTTTTCATGCAAATGTCCTCATTTCCGTAGTAATAAAGAAAGGAAAAGCGAATATATATCTGACATACGGTGGAAAAAAAGAATGTATCAAATGTGTTAAGGTTTGTATATGGGCATTGAATGTTTTTTAATGTTATAATGATGCCTTACATTCAACTTTGCTTGCTTTTATCCTAACGGAGAAGGTGTGCACAAAGGATTTCTGGTTTTCATGTAGGATGTTTTATTCTTTCCACAGGTGAAGTATCTTTCTCAGCTAGAGCAACTCTAATATAAACTAGCTACTGGGATATCACCCAGTGCATTGTCTAAACCAAGCCAGGACTAATAAGGCAGCACTGAACATGCTAGCTGCCTATCTCTGTTAGTGTTCTTAATGTTACTGCTATAGGGGTAGATGTGATAATTGGAAATTTTTCCAGAAAGTTCCAGGTACAGCTCTATAGCCATCGTCTCAGGCACTACGAGACAAAGCCAGCAGTGGAGAGGAGTGTGGTTAAGCTGCTGGCACTGTCCTTCGTACAACAGGGGGGAAACTGTGAAGGAAGAAGAAAACAAGGGGGTTATTCAATCTGAAATGCACGTCAAAATACATCAGTAATCTCTCCCTGGCATAAAATACCACTGAAATTTTACCTTTGCATCTGATGTAAAATCCAAATTTTACTTTTACATCAGCAGTACGGGGTCCTCCTAGCACTTCATGGCATTATAGAGATTTGCTAGCTAAGGACCAAAACAGAAGAAATGAGTGTCACCTCTCATTGCAAGTGTTATTTGCTTCACTATTTCATGGGTTTCAGCTCCTTAACCGCCTTGACCTTGCTTCGCAGGTGAAATTTGCTGAAAGTACTTCCCAGATTTTTGCCACTGTGGTTTTACCAGAGGCTAGCCACGATCTTTTAATGCAAACATCATGCACATATTGTGGTTATATGTGTAGGGTCCCAGAATGGTCATTAAGAAAGAGCCCTTTCAGAAGCTGTCATTGCCAGTCGCATTTGACTTGGTAACAGTCATTTGCCATTTCAATGTCCTGAATTAAGTTATCATCAAAACACTGAGTCAGGGCCATTGGCATCAAATTTAAGCATCAGAACAATATAAATAGTATCTGCCCTCATGGGACTTTTCCCTGCTCCCCAAATGCAGCTTATCTGTTGCACACTCCTAATGCTGGTCTGTGTTCCTGTTAAACAACTGAATAAGTTTTACTCAGTATAACTCCACTCCAAACGGTAGCAACAAAGGAAAGATCATCAATTCCAAAAAGTGAACACAATCAACTAAACTGATTAAATGAAAAGAATTCTCAGAACAACTGTGGGCTTATAGACAGAAATGGGGTGCAGAGCTCCATGAATTTACAGTTGTAAAAATGGTTCAGACATGAGAAGCTGTTTGGGTTTGGTTTGTAGGTTTCTTCCGGCTGGTTCAGATGTTTGGTTTGTTGGTCTGCTATTCTCTGTGTGCTCTGCCTGACTGAGTTATCCCTCAATCCTCAGGAGTGAGGAGAGAACCCCTTACCAAGGAAGGTTCCTGCTACCTGTATGGCTCAGGACACTGCTGCAAGTCAATTAAGTAGAGAATTTCCAAGCATGTGTAGAAAATGACAAGTGCAGGGAGCTGGAGATAGTTGCCATTGTGTCCTGCAGGTCTCCCAGCTTAGCAATACAGGCCTGAGGAGGACCTCACAGGTCCCACCTACTCTAAGTAATCAGGTTTACAAAACACATACTCCGTATTTCCCCCATGCTCTAGGGCTCTCCCAACCCTTTATGTCAATCTGGAAATGGGCAGAAAGAGGCAAAAATCTGCAATAGTCTGCAACAACAGGAAAACAGTTGTGCCACATTGATTTCTGACCAGCTGGGTCCTACCGCAAGCAGTGCAGCAAGGAGACACTAAGTATGAAAGATAGCAGCACTCAGGAATTAAACAAGGAATGAGTGCAGGACTGCCCCTTCGTGCTCTGTCTCTGGAGATCTGCCAGAATCACAGCACTTAGCTATACCAAGACCTTGCAGGTTATTTGCTGTTAGAAGCAGGTTTATTTAGACCTCAGTATGCCCGTGTGTTTCCTTAATCCCATGTTCCTGTTACTCAGAACAAAAGCCACAATCAAGAGTCCTATGACAGTGAAGTTTTAGATGGAAGTAAAAACCATCATGACCACTCTGCCCTCTAGTACTGCCCCTCACTCTGAGCTGAGATACAGAAAGGTAGAGATGGAGCATGAGGCAGCAAAAATTCCTGTTTTGTTTCAGGAGTGGCATTTCTCCATCTGCTGTCCCCAGCCATTTAATGACCACTCTCTGATATATAAAGTAATGCAAAAATGGCTTTAACAAAAATGATCCTGGTGCCTTATCTTTTGCATGCTTGCAAGTCTCCAAGGTACCTCTGAAGCTTGTCCATTGCTGCTAAAACCTGAAGGATTCACCTGAATCAGCATATTCTCTCTTTGATTTCCCTCTTCCCCAAAGCAAAAGACCATCTGAAGAAAACATCCCACTGGGTAATGCTTCAAGGCTCAGTAGTGACAGCAGTATGCCTGAAATGTGAAAGATAGAGTGAACATTTGTATTTATGACCACTAGCCTAAAGAGAACAATGCTGCCTTAGCAAAGTCCTCACTCTGTTTAACACATACTGCATTTTGCAGTGCTAAGATCTATATATCTTCATTTATTTTCAACTGAACCTTGCATAATGGTTCTTATGAAAGAAAGTAAAACTGGAGCTCCTTGTACTTCCCACAGCCATGTTTTTGAACCAGAGGCATATTTTGTTTTCTTAAATGGGTATCTCCATTCAAATATGTGATAATGTGTTCATGTGCGAAAAAGCCATATGTAGTGTTGAGATTCTGGCCAACTTGTTGTACAGATACTACATGCTAGAGAAATAATGACTCAGTAGGGGAATTTTACTCATCATGTAATGCACTCACCTTCATAAGCAACACCTTGCCTTCACTACTCTTAGTCCTGCTAGAGACTGGAGACCCAGAGATGGGCATGGCCATAGGCAGGGCACCTTCGGTAGCTGTCCTGCTGTTTCTGCTGTGTTTTGGGGTTTGTTTGAGTTTTTAAAAAGATATGGTCTCTCTCTGAAAGATCAAGTACTGCCACAGTGCTTCCCAGTCTCTAATGGGAAGGGAAAGACCGTTTCAGCCTTTGCCTCCAGACTTTCAAGATTCACACTCTGTAACCACCCACGCTGTTGTTGTGCTTAGCATGGGCAGAAAGCTCCCTGTTGACATATTAGTGACTTTCTAATTCATGCATTAATTTTGCTAATCAATCAGAGGAAACTGAAAAATAACAACAGGCTATACCAAAACTTGTCCATCATGTATTGACTCATGCTGGCCAGCCCAACTGTTCCCCTTGCTTCTCTCTATCATTTTGATTTACACATCCAGATTCCTTAAAGAGGTGATCACTTAGCCCGTCACTGGCTACAGGCCTCCAAGAATTAATTAAAATACAATAAATCCACCTGTATACACAATATCCCTAGAAAGCAGACAGCACGTTTGCAAGCTTACTGCAGGAAATAATTGTGGTGCATTGAAGGCAAACTCTATAATTTCTGTTCTCAAATTCTTCCCAAATCACGGATACAACGCAAGAAGTTGTCTGACCGGTCCATTTTAAAGAGTGAGCTTGAAATGGCTTTTAAAGGGTAACTAAGGTAGAAGACTTTTCTAGGTATCACTGTCTGTAACTCCCTGGTATTGTTGGGTGTCCTGGCCATGGTAGGTACCATTCCCAAAGAGAAAAGAGACACATCCTAAAAGACCATGTGGAGTATCATAGAGAAATCTCAGTATCTTAAATTCTTACTGGGAAACAAAGCAAGTGTCACAGATCTTGGAGTATACATCAAAAATAGTCTGTTAATGGGGTTGCTGTGTTTTGTTCTCCATGTCTGAGGCACAGTTTAGTGTATCTAGAGAAACAGTTGACATGCCCCACTTCTTCAAAGAAATCCATTTCTCTGTTAAACACAACTTCTGCCACATCAGCCCCATTCCAGACTCAGCATAACTATGCTTAGGAGCTCCAAGGCTCAGTATATACATTTAAAGTATTGGGGTCTGGTCCATATGTATAAAGGCTCTCTAAATGACTGAATGAACAAATGAGTGAGTGAATGAATGAACGAATCAAGATTAATAGTGCCTAATGTCACTGATAGTGAATAATCAGCTAAATGTAAATTTTCAGTCCAAGGATGTAAGTCAGAGGGTCAGTGCCCTGTTTCTGGTGCAGGATTTCTTAGAGTAAAGCTGTGTTGCCTCTGTATTAGCAGAGGTCCAGTGGTGACTGAAGCAGTGTTCACTTCTAGGGTCCACCGTCAGGGACTGGTGGCCAACAGAGATGGGTTCAGAGAAGGGCTACAAGAGGGGAAGGGATGTCTTCCAATGAGAGGCTTATGTAGATCAATCTATTTAGCTTAATAAAGACAAGGTTAAGGGGAGAGCTGGTTATAATTTATAGATTTCCCATCTCCCTGTAGAAATAGAAGAGTAGGAATTTGATAATATGTGGCATTTCAGTTAAATGGGGGAAAGTCTGACAAGAACCAGTGAAATCTGAAACTAGACACATTTTAACATGGAAAGTAATTAATTATTAGAACAATTTACTAAGGTTTGTAATGGATTCTCCATCACTAGACATTTTGAAGTCAAAAATGATTGATTTTCTCAGAGAAATGCTCTTGTTCCTACAGGAGCTAATTCAAGAAAGTCCTGTAAGCTTTGTAATATGGGAAAAAAACAGATGATCACAAATTGCCTTTCCAGCTTTGTGATCTATAAACTTGCACCAAATAGCTAATGCATAGCTGCCTATGTCCTATATTCTCTTGCTGTAACTAGTAAGTATGATTCAAACATTTATCCCTTTATTTACATTAGTTTAATGGACTATAACATAAACTACATGCTAGCTGTTCAGGTGGGACATTCTGTCTGGTATATGGATTCGAAGGTCATCATCTAGACTGGGTACCTCCAGCACAGATTCAAGCATGGATGAGACAACTTTTGCCACACTGAAAATACCAAAAAATGCCAATCAATAGTTCTCCGTTGAGTTTGTTATACAGAACTAAATGTAAGATAAGACACCACTGAGCTCCTCTGAACAGGAGCTCTCTATTCCTAATCACCTTTCACTGGGGTGTATGACATAAGAAGGAGAAAATCTACTTTAAAACAGGCAGCGAATTTTTTGTTTCAGTGCTTGTCCAAGATCTTCCCAGGCACTGCATCAAACTGTACTGTCTAAATCCAGCAGAGTGCCTGTCTCTGAGCAGTGCTCGATGCAAATGTTACTTGACCTAGAAAATTACTGCTCACAAGGAAAAGGAGAACCCTTTCGATATTTTGATGGTAAGTCATGGAGACCAACTGTACAGAGAACTGTAAATAAACATTACTTCAAAGTGTAGCTCTGGGCAGTTCTGTATAGTTCATCTGAAGCCATTACAACATACAGAGCTATCTAAAGGAGTCAAGATAGAGGAGGGAGTGTCTTCTATTACAGCTGGAAAATGAATCTAACAGTTATTCTAATTAAAGAGGTTACTTTTTTTTTCTGCAAACTTTGTGTCTTTGAGCTGTAACAGCTAAAATGCTACCACTCTTCCTCCACAAACAGTATTCTTAATAGAACGGATTTTACACACAGAAAGAAATAACGCAAAAGCAATGACCATGCACTTTAAAGCATAACTGAGAAAACCAATTGTTAGATATTTTCACTGGGGTTTTCTGGTGGGTTTGGTTTTTTTGACAAAATGAGATGAAAATTTGTTTTATAAAAGTAATGTTCTTCCCTTCCCCATTAGGTCTGGGTAGAAATAGCAGTTAAAAACAACAGTTACAAGAATCTGCAGGTTGAACTATTCATGTGAGTTACTTAATTCACAGGGTATGTCCTTCTATGAATCTTATCTGTGATCAAGTTAAATCTGTTTGCTATAATCACGCACCATCTCTTTCTAAAGAAGGATCAACTCATAGCTGCTTTTCTTAACTTCATACTCAGACATAATGAAAGCATTTTTCAAAGATTGTTAATTTTAACCAGACACAAAGTGAGGGAAGAAAAGCTGGACACTGGGTATCACATTTTTTTTCTATGCAAGTTAGGTGGCAGCAGCACTGTGGCAGAAAACAGATCTACTCTCCTCTCATACCTTCCTCTCTGAAGACCAAAATAACCACTCATTTACAAAATGACTGTAATGTGGAGCTACACTTGGACTAGCATATTAAACACATGAATGGGACTCAGCTTGCACAGAGTGCACATGATTCAGATACGAGTGATCTGACTACTGCAGATAAGCATTAACAGCAGAGATTAGTCAGTCAATTCTATGCAGGTGTTCTGGTGGCAAAATGAGCAATAAGTGAGGATACACTGTAAAGCATCTTTGGAGGATGAAGGAGAAGGAGGGAAAATTGCTGCTATCTGCAGGGTAATTTAACAAGTAACAGTAATTTTGGAATAAAAAGGCACTCAGAACCTCACTATTTGCAATATTGGGTCAATGAGGCAATCAGACAGTGAGTCCAGGTCAGGGTGCTGTTGCATCAGTCATGCTTTTGACATGACATCCTGCACAGTTTTGCTCAGGACATCCACAATAACTGAGAAAGTTGGGGCTGTTCAGCCTGGAGAAGAGAAGGAGAGGAGGAGACCTCACAGCAGCCTTCCAGTATCTGAAGGGGGCATATAGGGATGCTGGGGATGGACTCTTCATTAGGGACTGTAGTGACAGGACAAGGGGTAATGGGTTAAAACTTAAACAGGGGAAGTTGAGATTGGATATAAGGAGGAAATTCTTTCCTGTTAGGGTGGTGAGGCACTGGAATGGGTTACCAAGGGAAGCTGTGAATGCTCCATCCCTGGCAGTGTTCAAGGCCTGGTTGGACAAGGCCTTGGATAATATCGTTTAGAGTGAGGTGTCCCTGCCCATGGCAGGGGGGTTGGAACTTGATGATCTGAAGGTCCTTTCCAACCCTAACTGTTCTATGATTCTATGATTTTTTTTTTCTTGAGCTGATTTTTTTTGTTTGTTTTTGATAGTGATCACTAAATATTTAGCCAGAAATGCTGCTAATAGCAAGGAACAAGCGCTGTTTGAGAGGGCTGCTCAATGCATTGAGCGCGGTCCGAACGTTTAAGATGAATGCGCTCAGAACCTCACAGTTAGCGGAAAAACCCCACCGATGCAGGCCAACACTGACAGATCCCTGCTAGGCTGGACTCCAGCACTGCTAACACTTAAACACTTCACACTTAACTTAAAGAAGCTTTTTATATGGGAATTTTGCAATCAACCTGTCTGCCCCTGCCCCAGAATCTTGCTCCAGTTTCTAATGTGAATGACTGTTGATAGACAAACCTGTATTTTAGGTTTGTTGATACTGCGTGAGATGTGTATTGGGCATTGCCTGTTCTGAGACCTCCACCCCACTATGGTTCCTGCTTTGAAAACTGGATTGCTGCTAACAAATACAGTAAAACT